TGCTGAACAAGCTCTCTGCTCCCAGTGTCTCACTCCTGAGCCTGCTCAACTGCTGTACCCCTGCCACTGCTGCCACTGCCAGCCACCAGGATGCTGCTGCATGGGGACACTTGATGCCAGAAGGCAAATCAACACAGAAATAATGAGGAGGAAACTGCTCCCGTGAAAGAAATGCTGAAAGAGAACTAAGGGTGTGTAGGCACTCAGGATTTAGAACTATAGCAGGAGCTTTATGCTTGTACATCAGGAGTGGTTTAGTAATTAGCATCTCCCACACCCTCCAAGAAGGACCTCGACTCATCTGTTGCCATAAGTGGAGCTGTTGTGGGGATGAACTCCAGCTAGGGAGCAGGAGAGACTCTTGTAGCCTTGCTGCCTTTGCTGCAGGAATTGGAGAGCAAGTATGGCATCAGCCAGAAGAATTTATTAAGGAAGGAAAATCTCTTGAGGCATAACATCTCAGTGCTGTGTGGAGACTCAGATTCCTTCCCCACTTATGCCCAAAATGATTGGGTGAAATCAGGCACATCCCCTAAGCAAAAAATTTCCCAAGTGCTCACCTGGGTTTCCCTTCCTGCACAGCTGTCTGCATTCCAGCTGCTGACTCACGTCGCAGAAATGCAGAATTACAGCTGCAATTAAAGGCATTCCAGAGCCTAATGTGGATTCTATAGAAATAAAAAAGGGTCCCAGGTGCCTCAAACCCTGCGTTCAAAACCGAGCAGCACTTCTGACCTCAATCTCCTTGTGCTCCATTTCCCTGGTTAATAATAATTCCCTGTCTCAGCAGGGTGTTATGAAAATCAATTAACATCTGAAGCACTGAAATACTGTAGTGATGAGTCCTGCAGAAATGCCAAAGAGGAAAATAATAACTCCAGCCTCAAATCCTGAGCTGAATGGTGGAGAGTATGGCACAGGGTTACACAAGCAAAAACAGTAAGGGGGAAGAAAAGGCAAATCAAGGCAGCTCATTAGATAAGCACAATTCCCTCTGTCCACAACCAGGAAGAATCCTGGGAAGAAAACAACCCAAACCCACAGAACTATGTGTGATCAAGGACAAATCATTCTGTGTGTGAGTAGGCAGTTTTCATATTGCACTTCACTTCCAAAGGCTTCTCTGATCCTAAACTTCCAGTTTGGTTTTATCATGTGTTTACAATACAAAAATATGAGTTGTATTTTCATAATATTGTAGTGTGTTAAGGAGTTGGAATGAAGGTTAGAGCTCACCCAGCCCCAACCCCTGCCCTGGGCAGGGACACCTCCCAGCAGAGCAGGTTGCTCAAGGCTCATCCAACCTGGCTGTGAACACTGCCAGGGTTGGGGCAGCCACAGCCTCCCTGGGCAACCTGGGACAGTGTCTCAACACCCTCACTGGGAAAACTTCTTCCCAATATCTAATCTAAATTTCTCTCTTTCCCCATTACTCCTTGTCCTACCATTCCAGTTCCTAACAAGGAACCAGTGGAAGGTGTCCCTGTCCCTAGCAGAGGTTGCAAACAGATGAGCTTTAAGGTCCCTCCCAACCCAATCCATTCTGGGCTTCTCTGTGCTGGAGACTCAGCCCAAGTTTACCTGAGTGGCCCATTTTAAAGGTCTGCAGCTCTGCTGAGGCTCAAACAGCTGATCTGGCATCACATTGTCCTGCCTGTATTCATCTCATCACTAGCTAAAAATAGCCAGAATCCAGAGTAGCAAGGAAAGTAAGAAGAGAGGAAAAAAAATTCAAAATGGGTTTCCAACAACTCAAATTACCATGCCCTGAAAATGTGGTGTGTCATGCTCCTTCAGGATTAGACACTGAAACTTTGCTACACTTTGTATGGAAAGCTAAAAGCCTGAGGCTGCCCAGGCATTCATCACTCCTGTTTAGCCAACATGGGAAAACACAGCTCCTGCTGCCAGTGGGAGCTGGAGGTACCCTCACTACACCCAGCCCTCAGCCCTGAAAAGCTGCAAATTTAAACACTGCCTTGCCAGGTGCACCTTACTGCTTTATGACATTGTTTCTGCACTTGTGTTTGCTGTGAAGGAACAGAATGTTTTGCATATTGCTTATTTCGTTCCTTAAAGTTCTCTGTGGGTCTGTTCAGTCCCACATAGGAATATGAAAATAAACTCAATGACAAACTGGCAGAAAACACAAAATACACAGACGAGATGAGGTCAGTGGGTTTGAAATGACCTGCACAACTGGTATGTGGCTTATTAGTTATGTCCTACCAAATTATTGCTTTCAGATCATTTCAGGATGATTTCATTGTCAATCCCTGTCCTCTCCTCATGCTCCAGACACATTATAACCCTCCAAGTGGAATGTGTGATCCAAGAAAATCCCAGGTTCCCTACTAATCAGTATTTGGGGGGGAAACCAATAGCTTTTCCTTTTAAAGACATTGACTAAAAGATGTTTGGCTTCTGCTCAGTTCTTCTGTAGCACTGCTGTGATACATACCTTGTGGTTCAGCTCTGGTCTATAAATAGATTTTCTTTCAATCATCATCAGCTTTTATTCAGCTGAGAGCATCTAACACTGAGAGAGCACTAATTAACAGCAACAGACAGAAAAGCAGGGAGGTATTCTGCAGAGACTTGGGGTTTTAACAGTTACATATCAATATATCAAAAGTGAACCGAATATTTAGGTTAGTTCACCCTGGTCAGCTGAACTTGGCAAATTCTGGCTCACTTTCAGCTGTATTTATTGCTGCTTGGGCAAAACCACTTTCCCCAAGCAGAAGAAAACAGCAGTCCTGGACACAGAGCCAGATCAATAGTTTCGTAGCTGAGCAGCCCTGGGCTTCTGGCAGGTCACACCTGGAGCTAAATTTAGTGTCCAAGTCTCTTCTCTCATCATTTTGGATTACTAATACAGCTCTGCCCAAGGAAACAAATGTCTTCTTTTATCAAATTATCCCCCATTCTTCCCAAGCTGTGTGTGACAAGGCAGTGGGCAAGGCAGGATCCTTCAGAAATGATCTACGTGTCCCTTTTTAGCCTAGGAATGCAAAATTACCAATCACTTCTAAGTAGCCAATTCTCTACTTGTTAAAAAGCTTGTGGGATGGGACTCTGCCACTTTTAGATGCAGCACCACTGGGACTGCACTGGCCAAGAGCTTGTTAGGAGCTGTTGTATTATTTATGTGATCACCCACACGAGTGCCAGGGAAATGATGCTCATTTTGGGAGGCTGTCAGTGCATCTCATGGAGTCACAGAGTCACTAAGGTTGGAAGAGACCTCCAAGACAGATCAAGTCCAACTGACAACTCAGCAGTACCATGTTCACCACGAACTCACTAAGGTTGGAAGAGACCTCCAAGACAGATCAAGTCCAACTGACAACTCAGCAGTACCATGTCCACCACAAAACAGTGTCCTCAAGTGCCACAGCCACATGTTTTTAGAACACTTCCAGGGATGGTGACTCCACCACTGCCACCAATAAGCCCTTCAGTGAAAAATTCTTCCTGAAAACTAATCTAAACCTCCCCTGGTGCAACTTGAGCCCATTTCTTGTCTTGTCCAAGACTTTCTTTCAACACTGAATCTTCAAACTGCCCAGGAGAAGGAGCAGCCCTGATGAGGACACACTGCCCAGCACGAGGGTTTAACCCTCTCAGAAGCTGTTGCTGATAGTTCTCAGCTACAAGATGCTGGACAAGGTAGACCTGGATGACAGAAAATGACAACTCCAAGGTTCCTGAAGGCTGCATAGAAGAGAATAATAAAGCTCCCTATGTCAACACTGTTCTGTAGGGAGCTATAAAAAAGAAAGTGCTACTGTAGCAGTCACAGAGGTAAGGCAGGAACAGCTCAGCCCTTCCAGGGTTGAGCCATCAATCAGCAACAGACGAGATGACATTTTTCTGTACAAAACCACAGCAAAACTAGATCAGACACAAAACAATCAATTCTGCATAAACTCTCTTGTTCTGGAAAACAAAACATACCCATGACCTTTACTATCTTTGTGGTTTGCTTTCCTTCTCCCTCTGCCATTCTGTACATGCTCCCTCTCTCCCATGCTACTGATACAGAATTTATTCTCCTCACTCTGCCACATCCTCTCTGAAAGCTGTTGTCAAAAGAAAAATGCTATTTGTGCCACTGGGCAAGAGATCAACTTGTGACTGTACCAGGCTGAATTTGTTGCCACTGGCATGGTATGCTGTGAATTCAGAGGTCATAGATTGATTCATAGATTGTTAAGGGGTTGGGATGGAGCTTAGAGATGATCCAGCCCCAAGCCCTGCCCTGGGCAGGGACACCTCCCACCAGAGCAGGTTGCTCAAGGCTCATCCAACCTGGCTGTGAACACTGCCAGGGTTGGGGCAGCCACAGCCTCCCTGGGCAACCTGGGACAGTGTCTCACCACCCTCACAGCCAGGCTGAGCTTTACACAGGATTTATCTGGTCACATATGGGTCAGAATGATAAAGACCAGACAGTGCAAAGAGAGTAGAGATCACAAAAATAATCCTAACTTAGTTTCAAATGTCACCAGGTTTTTCTACACTACTTTTTTATTATAGCTGAACATTGTTCAAGCACTTTATATACACAATGTAGAGGAAAAAAACAGATTTCAGGGATATTTCAGCTGTTCTCTCTCCCTGTCAGAAACCAAGGGAGCCTATGGCCACCTTTTATTGAATGATTAAGCTTAGCTATTCCAATTATTGTGATTATGATGGGGAGGTTATCTGAGGGTACAGATAATCCTGTTACTTCACAAGGATCTCTGGCTGAATCCCTTGGTTTCCAGAATAATGCAAGAACAGAATTTCTGCCCATGCCTATGCAAACACTCTCCATGACAAAACAAAAGTGAATCTGTTTAAATATGCTAATTCTAAGTGAACCAACACTGCCTTCTTGGCACCTCTGACATTTCTGCCTATGAGCAATCCAAAGAGGAAAATCGATGATTTCCCACCCTGTAAGAAACCAGGAACAACCAGGAGACACATAAAAACAGCTCCTTCCATCATCATAAGATGCAATTAACTCATTTCAGTACAAACCCTCAGGCAGGGGAGAATAAAGCAAAGTTATAAGGATACAATGAAAACAAACCACAAAGAGACACTAATCCCTTCACACAGAGGACACTTCTGAGAAAATACAGCAGACAGTGCTTGTTTTCACAGCTACAGAGGCACCTTCCATGCATCTGCAGCCAGAGCATGGCTCAGTTATGTAACTCAGTGTGTTAAAGGCTACATTAAAAGCCAGCAACCAAGTAAAAGCTACATTTACTTTACTTTGCTTACTTATTAAATTTACCACCCAGGAAAAGCCCCAGAGCTGGATCAAAGTGTATTTTCCTGCAATACTTTTCAAGGGTCACCATCAATTAAATACAACTTTATGATCTGGAGGGTTTGTTAACCATGTTTCTAGATCATTCCATTGAACAGAAAGAGAATCCCTTCCCCATTTGGTAAATGAAGCTGTAGCCACAGACAGTTAATTCTCACACACGCCAGTTCTGCTGCAAAGTCTGCCAAAACCCACCACAAAAAAACAGCCCAGAAAATTAAACTGACTTGGCAGCTTCCGTGTCACCATATCCTTTTCACCTCCAAGAACATCGAAAAAGATCCTGGCAGAAGGCAGAGGCAGTAACACAACAGGCATCCTGTAATCAGGAATGACAGCAGACTGGAAGACACAAAGGGACCTCCTACAGGGCTCAGCAGGGCTGGCTGGAAAGGAACCTGGGACTCCTGAGCCTTCTCCAAGCTGCCAACACAAATGACTCCTCATAAATCAAGAGAGATCAAGGTAAGCTGCTATTTGCAAAGGGATCCCCTGAGCTGGGCAGTGGCTCTGCTGTAGAACGAGGGATAACACACAGAGACAAGGTCACAGTGATGGCTAACCTTGATTTAGCTTTTCCTCCTCCATTTTTCCCCTTCTTGGCTTTCCAGACAAAATATTTCTCACCAAATTTTGTTACTGTGTGCTATGTGTATTTGCCTGGGGTGAAGGAGAAGCTTCAACCTGTGGGTAAATCACCTTGAGTACTTCACAAATGGGATTATGGTCAAGGTTTGAAAATGGGTCAACGTTTCATATTGGGCTCTGACTGTGCAGAAAAGTCAGTGGGGAATAAGCAGCAAGAGATAAAGGACAGAGGAAAATCTGAAGCAGGAGAGAGGGAAACAAAATTAAACAGAAGGGACAGAAACGAAGACAAGAAGAGGTGGTGAAATGGAGAGGACCAAGAAGAAATAAAACAAGATAAAGGATGGGAGATAAAAGCACCAGAGATTGTGTTTAGTTCTCATTGACTCATAAAAGGAAGCTATAAATCAAATACCTTATCTTCATTTAAATCCATGAAAATCAGTTTGAAGGAAAATCCAAATTAATTTTGTACTATGAAAGCTGTGGAACTTCTTAAAATCTAGTCACAGCTATTAGAGAGGGGAAAAGGGTATTTTCCCTTTTGAGTATTACAAACATAGAGTGACTATTAAAGCTGCTTCAAGAATTCTTCAGTTCCTATGATATAGAGCTGATGGAGATTAGAACTTAAACTTCTTAGAGCTGCTTATCTACTCTGGACTTATTTAAGTGGCTTTTTTGGATACTACTGCTCACTTCTTGTACATAATGATTACAGCTAGAAAGGAGGATTGAGGAAAACTTTGGGTGCGCTGCAGTGCTCTCCAATCCAGACACTTCCAGGTATTCCTGGAATAAACATGGATAACCAATGCTCAGTTGTGTTTCCAATACTCTTTCCAACGAGTTCTGCTGTATCTTGTTACACTTCCAGGTATTCCTGGAATAAACAAGGATAACCAATGCTCAGTTGTGTTGTGTTTCCATTACTCTTGCCAACGAGTTCTGCTGTACCTTGTCTTACACTTCACCCTCATGTTCCCCAATAGACCTTTGAGATCTCATCTGGTTAGGAAGTTCAGTTCTCTCCCTGTGTGACCTTCCCTCCCTCACAGGCCTTAACAGCCTATTTGCCACTTTTCCAGCCATGGACAACTGTGAACTCATAAATGGGAGGAAATATTAATCAGAAGAGCCAGATAAAAGTGTATAAATACATATCAGAGAATGCTGCAAATAAACACAGCTCCTTAAAACTCCTGAGGCTCCACTTTGGTAACATCACACATCCATTTTCATCCATCACCACTTTGGTAACATCACACATCCATTTCCACCCATCCTATGTCACATCCCTATGTTCATGGAAGCAGAATTTGTGAGTCACGTGTGGTTTATCCCTTTCCTTTTGGAATACTGAGGAGCCTTGAGGTATCTGTGCCATGAGAGACTGGCAGCCTGTAGCACTTTGGGTCACTTGGCTTTGGCTTCACTTGGTCACTGAAGTTCTCTCAGATAAAAGTGAGATCCACCCAAGGTTTAGAATGTTCAATATGAGAAGTTCAATCTAGAATGTAAAAAGCTATTAATTACATTCTTTTTTCTTCTATAAACTGGTATTTAGTACTGTTTTCGAACAAGAT